ATAGTAGGGTCAGTTGGGTACCATTTGTGGAAAAAAAACACCATGACGAAATTCACTACGCCAGAAATTTGGAACACTGTACTTCTTGGCACCGGAACCTAGCATTTCTGAGTGATTAGGTGTCAATCTGAGGTCAGTGCAGAGGATTCGGAAAGAGTTGGAAAGAGTTGGATGTTAAGTAGGTACAGCAGCTCGGAAAACTTACTCTGGTCGTTCTGATAAGAAAACAATTCCCGAATTTGTTAGTGAGGTCCTCTGACTCAACACGGAGGCCTACATCAAGTGCTTTGAGGAGGTAGTGCTGCTTTGAGACAAGAGAGTGGCTGCTGGAAGACTCTATATCTGACAACAGGACTCTGCAGCAGGAGAACCCAGTCATGGCAGTCAGACAATTTCTGCAATCAGATACTCCCTTACACCTGGTCACTTAACTCCCCAGACTGCATTATTATATGTGGAATGCAGTTAAGAGAGAGAGAGAGAGAGAGAGACCAACAAAACTCTTTGTAACACCAAAGATGAACGGAAGGCAAGGATTATGGCTGCATTCCCCAACTTAAAAAAGTAGACCGTCCAGAAGAGATGCAAGAGATGGTTGAACCCATGGCGATTTTATTAAATAAATTTACTCTTTATTATTTCAAGATATTTTTGTGTAATTTACATAAACATATCTGTTAAAATGAGATGTCAGTGTTATTTTCATATTTGCGTAGTTTAGACAATTTATCATATATATATATATATATATATATATATATATATATTATTTTAAAGAAAAACAGACCACTTTAAGGTACCATTATAATAATTTATTTCACCAGAGCCCTTTTAAAGGACGCCGGATCATCAGATAGCACTTCCAAAAATGAAATGAAAAATGAAATTAAAATTGATGGGTAGTGTAAGTTTTTGTAATTTAACAGAGAGTGTAAAAGGGGTAGTTAAAGAGACATGGTAGAGTTTAGGGAGGGATTAATTTTATATCTCTCTCAATCATACTTAGTACTGGGGGAAGAGGAGTGACCAGACCTATTTAGACGGTTAACTTAACGGAAGTGATATATTGAAATGGGAGGGGAGAAGGGAGAAAAGAAAAAGAAAAAAGAAAGAAGAAGGAGGGGGAAGTAAAGAGAAAGAAGCTGTAAATGGGTTTTAGCAATTTATGTAAAGAATAGATTTTAATGCTTGATAGTAATTTTGATGACTAAAAAAACCCGAAAAAATTAATTTGATGCTTGCTAGCAATTTAAATATTTAACTTTTTTACAAAATAGTTTAGGGATTTAATATAAGTTAAATACTATATATATTAACACATTTCTAGAGAACATATTTAAAAAAAAAATTAAATTATAACAGTTTGTTTACCCGACCAATAGTACTTTTTTTTAATATTGTAAAAGATAGTTAAGGTAACGTCTTTATCAGTTTGAATCTAATTTATGAATGTAATTTGTAATTATTTTTATATGGGTAAGCTTTCTTACTTGCCCTGGATAAAAATTGTGTCAGAGTGGTTTCGGAAATCTCGAAATCAATCTTATTGGCGGCTAATAGATGAAATACAACGGTGAAAAGTAAATATTCATGTTGCTATGTCCCGAGATACTCGATGTTGCACAATATGCGGACTTGCAGGTCACTAGCAGAACTGAAATGTCGCATATGATACAAACAAAAAACTGAATGACGCTGTTGGATCCTCAACAGTCAAAATCGACGGGAGAATCCATCATATCTGACGATTACGTGGTGCGTGAAACTCCGAGTCGTACTGTCAGCGTGGATGCATTATGTGCATTTATTAATATATACTTAGTAGCTCTGTTATTTTTCACTGAGCAGTGTATTACTTAAACCAAAGAATATATCTATATATTTGTATATGAACACTTGCACGTACATTTAATTACATTTATTTGATTATATTTATAAATATATATATATATATATATATATATATATATATATTTATACTTATATATACATTATATATATACATGCATTATATATGTACATACATTATATATATATACATTATATATATATATACATTATATATATGTATATATTTATATATATATATATATATATATATATATATACATACAATGTAACCCGGATATAAGAGAGTTGTCGGGAGTGGAGAAGAAGTCTCTTATATCCGAGTTTCTCTTATATCCGGCTCTAATTTATATTAATATACATTAACACAGGCTCTAATTTGGGACCAGAGAAAATCTCTCTTATATCCGGGTTTCTCTTATATCCTGGTTACATTGTATATACATATTTTATATATACATATATATATATACATTTATATATACATATATATATATATATTATATATATATATATATATATATATATATATATATATATATATATATATACATACATTATAAATAGTCTCTATATGTAAAATTTGTCTGTCGGGTGGTGAATAAAATAACTTTTAAAAATGAGAACCACAGTGGAAAAAAACAATAGGAATAATACTATATCCACAAGAATCTAAACAAAATGGTGTTAATAATAATACCCCCCCTCGCACACAAACATTCTTTAATTTTGGCAGAAGTTTCAATTATCTGGAGTCGGTAATGAATAATTAAACGATAAAATGTTTCGTATTTTTCATGCTATTTCCATATTGTGAAATTTTATCAAATCAAATATTTGTTCCTTTGTGGATGAAAATGTATTACTTAAAAATACATTTTGGCATTAAAAAAATGTCTTTCATATCAAAATATTTAATTTAATTTTATGTTTTTGTCCATTTGAAATGAACAAATATTTAAATAAATCAACGCTATTTTTTTAGATTTATAGATTAATTTGCAAATTCCAGAGAAAGAGAAATAAAGCATGAGAAAAGTTAGCCCCTAACATAAAAACAGGATTCTGTAGTTAAATATCATCAGAGAAAGAGTTTAAAACACTTGAGGAGAAAAATGGAGGAAATGGTAAATCGTCTCCAATTTTGCCTTTCTTAGATTTTCGATAATTTGAGTCATAAAATGTCTTTCGCCAAAATTGCCTGAGATCCAGAGATTTTTCATTCATATGGATGTTTCACATCAATAATTTACGTGAGTGTTTCATTTAGTTTCTTTCCTTTCAACGAATGATTTTTATTTGACGGGAGATCAAACAAATATTATGCAGTCAGTATCTTAATATTTAAGTTTCTTTTTTTTTGTGAAGACTAAAACAAGATGATTAGGATTTATTATGTTAAAAAACAAGTTTCTTTCGTCATGATAGATGGAAATATATTGTATTAATTACATGAAAATCAGTCTTCATTTTTAAATAAAAAGTTACCCATATTAAGATATTTTTGTAAATTAACTCGGCAACGCATTGGGTCTGCAAGTATAATATTAGATTTTGCATCTTGCCAGAATAATTTTTGTAATGACAACATCAAGACCACTGTTCAAATGCATGTCTATTTCAAATACATATATAAGGATTGATGTCTAAAAACTTAGAGCTCTTGTTTTAAATGAATTTTAAAAAGTTCCAAATATTACGTATATTTTCCGATATTTTTAAAGTTCAAATATTACATGTCAAACCATTTTGTGCTGAACTATCTTACGTAGCAGGTACTTGAAATTAACACCCCCCCCACAAAAAAAAACACGCACATTATACAGATCTCAATTTATTTAACCTCGAAAACAAACGATGTGCTAAAAGTTTTCTTCTTCTTCATGTAGAAGAACGTCAGTACGAATTCCAGCCATTTTCTTTTCCCAGGGATCGTAATAAACACAATTACAATCTTAAAAACGTGAAAGAAATTAACAATACACTCTTTAAAACAGTTAAAGAATTGTCCAAAAGCAATTTGGACAATAGACACTATGGACAATTTTTACACTCTCTTCTCCCCACTAAACGGAGAAGTTTAAGAATACTAAAAAAAAAAAAACACAAAAATAAATCATCAAATTTTCTACATTTTCATATTCAGGAAAGATTTACCTATATATATATATATATATATATATATATATATATATATATATATAATTATTATTATTATTAGGAGTGATTTGAGATAATTATAATTAAGTAATTCGAGTGTAGAAGAAACCTCAACAGAATGCAGAAAGCACTGGACGGCCGTTTTGTCCTATATTTGAGACTCATCAGCATTGCGCATTCACTACCGAGAATTGAAACCCGGACAGTTACGTTATCAGGCAAACGTCGTACTAACGGGCCTAGGTTACGAAGAGTTAACAAATTAGACTTGATATAGCGATGATCGATTACATATTCCAAATATGTCGCTACCTCTGCGTCACCGAGGCCCGTTAGTACAGTTAGTATGGCGTTTGCCTGACAACGTAACTGTCCGGGTTTCAATTCTCGGTAGTGAATGCGCAATGCTGATAAGTCCCAAATATTGCTTTCTGCATTCTGTTGAGGTTTCTTCTAGACTGGATGAATTACTTGTATATGAGAGACAACTAGAAAGCAATTTTTATGCTGGATCTCTGAGAGAATTTTTACGTTGTTTATTCTAAATGACTTTTTTTTCTCTTTTAAATTCGCGGGTGGAGAACTTAAATCAGATATTTTTATATTTTGAATACACCTTCAACGGAACATTATTTTTTCTTAATTATTTTGAAAATTAACGATTGTAATGATTTTTAGATAAATGAAGCTCAATAGTTTTCTCATAAATTGCGGCACAGGTAAAGATGTGAAGAGAAGCAATTGCTAGGCGAATGGGGTGGGACCAAGATGATAAATCTAGTCGTCTGTTTAGTTTTCAGTCCTGGGCAAAATAGGACCATGAATGAAATTAGATGTTAAAATATTCTAAAACCTAAATGCCAGCTATGCATCAGAATAGGAAGGTTTTGTTTGTTTTGTTTTTGTTTTTTTTTTACATTAGAGGAAATATAGACGGGAGAGAAGATTAATGCTCAAGTTTAAGACTCGAAATGGCTTTTACAATGAAATAGAAAAATTGTTTGTTTTTTTTCTTTCTCTTTCTCTCTTTTTTTTTTTCTGTGTGTGTGTGTGTCTTCCTCTCTCTCTCTCTGTCTTCCTCTCTCTCTCTCTGTCTTCCTCTCTCTCTCTCTCTCTCTCTCTCTCTGTCTCTCTCTCTGTCTTCCTCTCTCTCTCTGTCTTCCTCTCTCTCTCTGTCTTCCTCTCTCTCTCTCTGTCTCTCTCTCTCTCTCTGTCTTCCTCTCTCTGTCTGTGTGTCTCTTCGTGTCTGTGTGTGTCTCTTTCAAGTGGCGGACAGACTCTGGAATTGCTGACAGATGACCAGATTGACCAATTTATTCAAATGCTTTTGCCTTTAACCTTGTGTGTGTGTGTGTGTGTGTATATATATATATATATATATATATATATATATATATATATATATATATTTCAACTGGTAACTATTACACTTTCGCTCCCTCGTTGCTTCCTGTCATTCAGCAATGAGTTGCCCCAGGTACGATAGTCTGGACTGATATGTGGGCCTCATACAATGGTTTAATAAACAATAGGTTCAACCATGACACTGTCGTTACCACGAATCTAGTTGAAGCAATGTGGCAGCGTGCCCAGGTGAAACTTAAGGCCATGAATGGCCCTACCAACAGAGGGATGATTTCTGAATATCTGGCGGAATTTATGTAGTCTCGAAGGTTTGGTGATTTGCCTTTTTTCAACTTCTGGTATCAAAGTGCCACAGAACTTTATCCGTTTTGAAAATACGGAACACAAGAAATATGGAAGAGGAAAATGTAATCGGAAATAAAATAGTCGCGCGAAAAAAACACAGGGGAGGGGAGCGAAAGTGTAATAGCGCCATCAACTGAATTATTGTCTGCTTATTAAAAAGAATGTGTTTGAAATGACTCAATTAAATTTCCTAATAAAATTTCATAACATGCTTGAATAAAAAGAAATAACCCCATCATAGGAAACAATTTTTTTGTTTTGTTTTTTTTGTTGTTTTGCATTTTGGGTTTTTTTTTATTGTTTTGTATTTTGGGGGGTTTTTTTGTTGTTGTTTTGTATTTTGGGTTTTTTTTTTTTGTTGTTGTTTTGTATTTGGGGGGATTGTTGTTTTGTATTTTGGGGGGTTTTTTTTGTTTTGTATTTTTGGGTTTTTTTTTTTTTTTTTTTCTTTTTTTTTGTTTTGTTTTGTATTTTTAGGGGTTTTGTTGTTGTTTTGTATTTGGGGGGGGTTGTATTTTTGTTTTTGCCTAAGTGTGCCCAGTGAACGGTCGTCGATCCAAAAAGATTCATATTTTAACATTCTAAAAACAGTTTTTATGGTACAAAATAATAATAGCAAAATGTGTTTACAGAAAATAGGACGTATTAGTATGTGAACCCCACTCTAACATCACCACTCGCACGATCTAATGTAGTCCAAAAAAACAAGTTACCCGACGAAAAATAAAAATAAAGCGAAGCATCGCACATCACCGGGGACATTTTTTGCCTCCAGTCATCTGACTGAGAAGAGAAAGAAAAACGAACATTTTGAAATGTTACACTATTGAGGTCTTCGCTAGATATGTACAATTTATGGTACCTCTGTAGCTTCAGATATAGATATTCAGTGGAATCAGAGGTTAGAAAGTGGTTTTTAATGGCTGAGAAGAGGAAGTTTTGACTGAAGATGTCATATGCTGCTGTAAGATCAATACAGTTTGATGACCCATAACAGAGGTGATTCAACCGCCATTGAGAGACGTATACGGCGGCTCTTTAGCATTTAAAATGTTTCGTTGTTGGTTGAGTTCCTTTCATCTTCCTAGTTAATATAAAATGTATATAAAAAACATTAAAGACTTATAAATTTGGGGTTGAGTTATGCATCATTTCCATTTCTGTTTATCAACTTTATTCTTTAAAAAAAATAAAGTACTATTATATTTTATTCAATACCATTTAACGGTAGGAGCTGAACTGTTTTGTTCTATTGACGTAAGGTGGAAACACACTGACAAAATTTAGCCCGACGCGAATTTATAAAGATATTTTGACTAATTTACAGACTATACTGTACTGAGTGCTAGTGAATACCTGGCATCTGTACAGAACTAATCCAAGTTTAGTAACTATAAGTAATCTGAGAGTACTACAAAATGGTATTATTATTAGTTTTTCTGCCAGTACTCTTCAAGCAATTTCTCACTTTTTCTATATTAATTTTATGAAACTGAACGTCTATAGTATTGTGATGGTTACTTATCTCGCAAGCTGTTGCTAGTTTAGACAGTTCTTCATAGTCTCTCGCTGTTTATTAATCGTATTTTTTCTCCACGTCTTTACTGTGAAGTTGTATGAACTACTGAAGGTAGCCAGATTAAAGTTAGCATAGATTCTATGAGTTCTACAATGATTATCTAAGAAAACTATCTTTTTCTTTTTTTTAGTTTATTAGTTTAATAGAAAGATAATTGGTGTTTGATAGTTGCCTAGTTTCACTCAGTTTCAGGTTTGGTTGTCATCGACACGCTGCAAGCATAACACATTTTGGTCAAGAGATTAAAAGAAAAAACGAATACGTTTTCTGGGTGAGCATTAACGAAGTCTGTCTGATTTTGTTTTCCTTTTGACATTAATTATTGGAAACATCTTGTTTCGTCTTTCTTTTTTTTCCTATCAATGTCTGGAAATCAACTTCGACTGATTGGAGCGCAGCAAATGTTCTTTCATAAAGTTTAATAAGCAAATTGTCTGAAATAATCTTTTTTGAAAACACCGCGACAACGAGATAGTTAGATTTTATTATGCAAGCCAATGGTTTCCCAATAAAACTGCCACTAACAAATTAATATTGGCAAAGTTTTCAGGATATTCTTGTATTTAGACGGTAAATATACCCCTTGTGAATTTTAGATTATAATAATTGTTTTTTCTTTATAAATATTGGCATTGACTTTTTCGGGTAGTGTAAGATTCAAGTTTCACTTTACAGTATGAATTGCAAAATGAAGTTATTGTCCATTTTTCACCCACAAAACAAATTATCCATATCTTCAATAGTAATAGATATTACAAGATGAAACCCACTCTATATGTTACTCATATAAATACAAGTATATCCTAAAAAATATTACCAATATCGGTTAGTTAATGCCATTTGTAAAAATGAAAATTTGGCGTTCATAATGAAATCCTATATAGTATAATTGTACTATGCAACTCTTTGTTTTTATCATATTTCTAACACTTGTATACAATATTACGGGTATTTTTTAACTTCAAACCTATAAATATTGCTGGGTTTTGTAAGGAAGGTATAAATTCACGAGACTTTGTAAATTTATTTCAATGCAATATTTGAAATAGCGGACAACTTAAGCAGTCGGAGAAAAACTGAAAAAATGTTGAAAATGCTATAAAAAAAAAACTACATCAGCATGGCTGATGCTAACCTCCAGGTCGAGCTAACATTCTCTGCTAATATGAAATGGAAAAATTATGTTGAATCAATTCCTAGGTTTACTGCTAGAAAAGTTTGTTCACTGTGTTGGGCTAGAAAGTTTTTCTCTCTAGAATCTATTTTACATATAAGTCTACCATTCGTCCATATATAGTTGCCACATCTGCTCTGGTACTCCTGTGATATAGAGATTTTTTTTATATAAAATCTAAAGAATCCGCAATGTTATTGGCCCTGACTTGGCATCTCAGCTTCAGTTACTTTCCCACTACCATAATGTCGCTTCCCTGTGCCTTTTCTATAAATACCTCCATGATAATTATTCCGAAGAACTTTCCGCTTTGGTATCTAGACTTTATGAATTTAAGCGCAGTACTAGATTGGCGGCAAGGTCTCACCAATTTACAGTTGAATTGGCGAGATGCAACCGTAAGTTCTATGCTAACAGTTTCTTCTCTCGCACTTTTCACTTGTGGAATGCTCTACAGGCTTTCCGGCCAAATTCGATCATCAAAAATTTAAATGCAATGTCAATTGTTATTTACTGTCCTCTTAATTACTTTTCTTTTTTATTTTCGCTCCTTGATAATGTTTCTCGTTTTTCTTATTCTTTTACACACCGTAATCTCTTGTGTCTCAGTGGCTTTACTGCCTTGCTTTGAGTGAAATGATTACAAAAAAAAAAATGTTGCTGAAATGTGATTTGAGGAAAAACTGAAAGGCAAAGAATCTGAAAAAGTGAACTGTCAGGCAAGAAAATATTTACACAATTTACATTGTTCGGACTATCATCCTCATCTTTGTTGCCATATTTATCACAATTTTTCAGTCGTTGTACGCTCCGACCTTCTTCGGGTGTTTGGTATGTCGAACTGAAATGTTGTGATAAATATGGCAACGAAGATATTTCAGTTCGACATTCCAACCACCTGAAGAAGGCTGGAGCATACAACGGCCGAAACGTTGTGATAAATATGGCAACAAAGATGAGGATGATAGCCCTAACAATGTAATTATTGTACATAATACCTCATCTCGGAAATATAGACAGATACTGAAGAAAATATTTGTTACGAATGTTAACAGGCAGAATGCATAATATTAAAAACATTGGCCAAAGAGATGAAACTAACCAAAACTACCACCTTCAAATGATGAATGTGGAGCTATATTGGATGGTCCAAAGGTTCGGGCTGTTAGGGAAATGCGTAACCAACATGACTAAGACAACAAGAGTAACGGAGGTTGATTAATGTTTTCAGTTAGTATTCTTGGTATTAATGTCTTTTTTTTCCTTAATAGTACACACCACAACAAAGAAGCTTTAACTTGGGTATCTTTTATACAAGACAACCTTTCAGAATTCTTCAAAGCTGCCAATTGTCCATTAGTTACTAAGTTATTTGAAAGGCTTTCATCTTCTCTAGATATTCCTTAGAATATTCACCCTGTACAAGTCGGTTACACAAAGCACTGTTATGTGGGAAGAAGCTACTGAAATGAATGAGGGTTGTTCACTACGATGTACGTGATATAGCGGGTCTTGACCGTGAAGGTTTAGAACTGGTGGAACGTGGTTCGTCTGGACACTTTACATGGAAATGGCGATAGAGCAGCAAGAGTTTTGCGACGTTTCGTCCGTGGGGAAAGAGGCTGCAGGACGGGAAATAAGTCATCACCCACAAGGACGCGGGGACGCTTTAGAACTCTATCGAAACCAGAAAGTGAAGACTGGACTAGTCTGTTGCGTTCACTTTCCGACAAATGGCACAGAGAAAGGCATGAATCCGTTTCTTCTCCGCCTTCCCCAGTTTTACGTTACACTTTATCGTTGGATGGAAACTAGTCGAAGAGAAGGAAAACACTGAATTCAGAAACGTGGAAAAAGGTAACGGAAGATCATTCCTGTCTCCTTCCAAGGATTCATTGCAATTCACAGATAATGAAATAAAAGGAGTCTATGGAGAGTTATGATCGCTCACGTCATGAAGAGACAATAAAAAAGTATTATCTGTCCAAATGAAAAGTGAGTTTGAATAAAAGGTCATCAAAATAGATTAATATACCAGAACAGTGATTCTCAACGATCCCTCTTATGTGTGCCGCGAAATATTGTTACGACATACAAATGTGTGGGGGGGGCACCTCCTCGGCGTGGTGTAATGGTTAGCAAGCTGGTCTTGCTAAAACTGTTACAACTGAATAGTGAGTTCGTTCCTCACTGGGTGCCCCATACTTTCGGTCTTGTCCCACATCTAAGCCTCGCTTAGAAAATGTGTGGGGGGGGGAGTAGTAATGGCACAGCTTTAGCATTTAAATAAATGGATAAGTATTAAAATTTTATCCCACATTAGCTAAAAATAAGCTTTATCAGTTTTATTGTAATTTACTACTTCTTATGTGAATTAGGCTACTCAACCCTAAATAACATAAAAAATAAGAAGCAAGAAAGACTATACTCATCTAAAGAAATGAGGGTTTGCTTATCACACATTCAACCAAATATTGAAGAAATCACCAAAAAACACCAGGCACAGATTTCACACTAAATAAGCTGTACAAATAGTTGAATAGAAACATTGAAATAAATTAAGTTCATATTTGTGTATTTTTTTAATCTATGGTTTTATTTCCTAATGTTTAAATGTATACCCTTTAAAAAATTGGCTAAGTGTGCCATAATATTTTCATTTGCTCCAAGGTGTGCCATTGCTTAAAAATGTTGAGAAATGCTGTACTAGAGGAATACCTCTTTTACGCTGTGCATTTGCTGAGAATGTTGAATCGTGTAGATTAATAATTCTCCCTTACTTTTCTAATGGCCATTTCCAGAGTCCGAGAATATACACTAGGTCGCAAGATGAGAATAACTCTACTTGGGTTAATGGCTAACAACCCAATCTAATTAACCATGACGACTCTGAACTTTCACGAATTCAGTCCAAACTTCTAATTTGTTTCATATTAACTAGTCCCGCAAATCATTTGACTACTAGTTAGTTCTATCCTCTTTAGAGGTTCCCTCTCAGGATAAATCACGCTTAAGAAATCATTATCTACATTTCTCATCTTGTCTCTGCTGATAGTTAACCAATAGCTGGAGGGAATAGATGGATTCATGCCTTTCCCAAGGGTATGTGTGCATCAGTGAATATAACAAACGCAACTGGAATTCTGATCTCAGATTAAAAATTCCGAACCATTACCCATTGCACCAGCCGCACATTCAAGCGTATAGCACATGGTATTCCCAAGCGGTTACCCATTTAGGTACTGACCAAATTCGACTTTGCTTAACTTCGGTAATCGAACAGGAACCGGTGTTTCAATGCCACTTGACTGTAAGCCTCAAGGTAGAGGGTTACTTAGATTTTTGCATGGACTTGAGAAATTTGAAACTATAAGGATATGTAGGATAGACAACGGGTGGCCCTAGTCTTCAAAAGGTTAACATTTGTAGCGATCAGGGAAGCATCCACTTAGGAGGATATTCGGCAAAGTAACCGTTAAGACATTTTTCCGCTGTTTTATAAGGAAGTTACTGCGTGTAAAGTGGTTTGTGAATTTCGTTCAGAAGATTTCTCTCTGAACAAGTAGACTAATTAAGGTTGGTAGCAATCGAATCAAGAAATTTTCTTGAAAATGACCAACGTATAAAAGATATTCAAATCAAGCACTAAAAATCATTTGCGCCAGTTTGATTATATTAGCCGCTTTGACTTGTGTCTTTTACTTAAATTCAACGGGGGGAAAAAAACTACTGAATCATATTTAATGTTTCGTTTTTTTAATTAAATAAGCTACGAAAAGTGGATACTTTAAAACAACGTATGCCGTAAATATTGTGGTATTGACAAATTTCTCTCTCTGCTACTTCCGGAGAAGCAAGCGATTGATTTGAACATTGATTGCACCCAATCAAACGGATCTAACCCTAAAAGAACGTAACATATAAAAGAACGCTGTTAGTAATTTATATATCGTTTGAAGGCAGCAATAGACGAAAAGGGTCTGGAATTAGTTAATAGAAATTTCCAAATTTTCATTTGAAATAAAGAAAATACTAACCTTAAACGAAATAGTAACGATAAAGATTTGCACTTTCAGTGAGATTCCATATATTTCGAACATCTATTACGCCTTCAGTCCATTCCGAACTTCAAGTGGAACTCATCTATCCAAGCCATTGCTAAAAATGGAAAAATGATCGTATCTATCACCCCAGGAAATATCCGATTTCTCCTGCTGTTTTCTTTTACAAGAGTTAGATTAAGCCAAAAATGGTGCATTGATACCAATCTGTGCTGTAGCTGCTCAATCCTCACTACTCGGCTTTGATAAAGTTCAAAATCGATTTTTCAAGGGATAAAATTTCTCGCTATACAAACTTGATGTTGCAAGCGTGTTGCTGTTCTATCACTGACTCCCTGGTAAATGTTGAAATGAACTCCATTCTTTACTTCTATCAGTTCACATATTTACAACTAGTACATGTCATGGAAAAAAAAGGCGTCAATTTAAATTTGGTTAAAAGCAAACATATTCTGTCAAGGATTCTATCATTCTACGTTTAATACTGTCAAGTACTATCCTTAAGAAACTCTCTTATAGCCTTGGTTAACAGTCTAAGTGGGGAAACTCTGTATTGAAATTAGCGTGCAAAGGACTACGCTCCGTCAGTTGAGCTTGCCTAAGAAACACCACCATTGCCAACGGCTGCAGTAAATGTGCCCCCCCACCACCACCACCTACAACCCTCGGTGGTTATGAGATTCATGACCGTGATATCGGAAAAAGAACGTGAATTTAGATAGACACCAGGAGGATCTGGGTGAAATGGGACGGGGTGGAGAGATATCTCGAACAAAAAACTTTGAAAATAGTGTTTCATTTTAAAGAAATTTGATAAGACTTGATTTTTTGTTTGTTTTCAAGCATAAGCTGTGTATCGAAGAATTTTCAAATATAAATTTTAAATGAAAGCAATGAATATGAAAATTTTAGATTTTTAATGAATGGTTGCACACACACACACACACATATATATATATATATATATATATATATATATATATATATATATTAGTAAAGAAAAATCAATGAATTAAATAATAAAATAAACTGTATTCTTTTGTGCGGCCTCGTTTCCAATAGCCGTTACATATGACGTCAAGTTATAGCATTTCAAACGTGCATCTTCCCAAAATATACCAGAATGCAGACAAAGGAATTCTAACTACCACAGATACACCACGCCGGTTCTAAATAATGACGTCGAAAGTACTTGAACAAAAATAAGAAAATATGAACTTTGGACAGTTTATCCACAACTTCCAGCCGAAAATCGGAATACAAAAAAAAAAATAAATACAGACATATTTTGTCGTTTCTTTTAATCAAACTTGTTATATAGATTAATCATTTCACTCCAAGCAAGGCAATAAAGCCTCTAATATACAAAGCGGGTTGACTGTGTGAAAGAATAAGAAAAAGAAAACATTAAGGCGTGAGAACAATAGAAGCGTGCATTTCATTGTATTTGTCATAAGGTGATTTAATGTTTGAATGTGCAATGTAAAATCTACGATAGCCAAGACAAGAAACGCTATGTAAGCATCAGTGCCATTGGTGATAACTCAATCAAATTATATCTCATTATATTACATATTTTGCATTCGAGCAAAAGGCTAACAAAGATTGCTCTCTAATGAGACTTGCTTGATAAATTTAGTAAAGTGGAAATCACGATTTCGGATCTTGAATCACTCCAATTAATTTTAGAATTGGCTACATTTCTTCTTCTAAATTTGGATGTTCTCTGCACAAATGAGAATTCTGCCTTTTTTTTTTTTTTTTTTTTTTTTTTCGATGTAAATTGAACATTTACATTTTGAAAAAGGAATTTTCTTTCCTGTTTTCGTCTTTTGAATATTATTCTTATTAGGCAGCCTTCGCAATTCACATTCGATGACGACTCTTTGCATTCTGCCGCAAAAAAAATAATTAACTACAAAAATGAAAGGTAATTATTATAATGTTGCAATCAATGATAAATTTGTGTAATTGAACAGCATCGAAGACAATGAAGATCATTTTTACTTAAAATAGATAACAATCAGGAACACTTTTCTTTTCTAACACCAACTCCTGTAAATAGCAATAATTATTTGCAATTCGTTTAATTTTTGAGACAAAACGGAGAATTTATTCTTTAAATGTAAATAACTAGAAAGAGAATTTGTAATTGTGTAATATAGTAGCGCTCTGTTGGAGTGTACATCATTAGATATTTAAAAATATATAAAGAACACTATTTATATGAATAGTACTAAACATGTTTGATTACAACCAGCATCGGAAACGTAGCAGTGTCAAAACTTCTTTTTTGGCTGACGTTATTTATAGAAAGTGTATCCAAATTATTTTTTTCCACGGGCCTTTAGTCCAAAGCTTACAATGGGGTGCTGACTAGTTCTCGGGTCGGTAAAGATAGATTGATTCGTTTTCTACGGCTTATCAAATCTTTTAAACTTACTTAAAGCCAGAAAATATTTTTAGACTGCAAGATTTTTTTTTAAGATAAAGGTTTAGTGATATAAGTCTTACTAATTAACCCATAGCTGGGGTGAGTAGATGCGGATTCTTACATTTCCCAAGGATATTTGTATTTACTCAACCCCACGACACAACCTGGCGAGCTTTAGTATATGGGTGACGGAATATGATTTGGTAGAGGATAACAAAAAGACTAAATTTATTAAGAGCTACAAAGGATGGGGAGTTGTGGAGAGCCATGATCATCAACGTCATGAAGGGACAGGTCACCTAGAAGAATCAGTTTTTATTTTATTGATATTTTATATAATGTGTTTTCTTGTGGGATTAATGCAAGGAACAAATTTAGCTAAAAATAGGTAATTTCGTCAAATGATAATGTCTTTTCTGATGATGACAAACCAAAGTAAAGGAACAAAGAAATACTTGGTGACTGGCTTTTTCTACTGCTTCAAAGTACTCTATTCCACCTGACATGTCCTCTTTTAAAAGTCAAATCAAACCAAAACTGCAGTTTTGCTGTATTATCTGGGTTGAAGCTGCCCAATGCTGACGTTCTAGACCTTCACTGAATTCAAAAGCGTTTACGCAGATTATCTTCCATCCTACCGCCTCTTTCTTCCAGATGCAACGTCGCAAGCCTGTCGCTAATACTATGACAAATGTTCAGACGAGCTCTATTCTTTAGTGCTGTCAGCTCGAACCATTACAGTCAAGACTCATCTTCTTATGTCCAATGTTGAATCGCCCCCCCCCCACCAATTCCCTACATACTCCTTTGCGAAGAAGATAGGTCTACCCAGAAATCTTCCCAAGAACCTCCACTCTTTGGAAAAGACTCCGGTGTAGGTATTTCCCCCATCTTAACCTCTTCAAGCCTACAATCAATCACTATCGGCTTACGGCCACATCATGTTGAAACACCAGTTCCCGGATGATCACCAAAGTTAAGCAACGTTGTCCCTGGTCGGTACCAAGATGGGTGATAGTTTAGAAATATCAGGTGTTGTATGCTTGGATGTGAAAGTGATGTAATGGATAATGGCTTGGAATTGTTAATTGGAGAGCTGAGTTCCAATTCCCATTGTGTTCGTTATATTCACGTAAGCGTAAATTCCCTTGGGAAAGCTATGACTCCACCTCTTCTTCACCCAACTATTTGTTAGTAGGATTTGGTATCACTAGGCCATTCTTAAAATCTAAAAATATTTTCTGGTTTTAAACAATTTGCAAAGGGTTGATAAGTCATAAAAAATGAATGAACCTATCAGCTATATCTTCGTAATCATCACATTTTACTTAAGTTCATATCACGCACCTCATTCAGTAACCCTCTACCTTGAGTGGGTAGGATTTAGTGTTAAAAAAAAGAAAAATCATCCAAACAAGGAACACTGGCAGAAATATTAGGCAGGGTATTCATTCCGTAATAACTATATTTGAATATCCTTGTGATATTCGCCCGACACGCCATCCCACCCAATCCCCAATTTTATTTTTATCCAAGAAGGCAATGGCAGAATTGCGAAATTACGATTATCAGCTAGAGGCATGGACACCTGCACCCATCACTTCCTCACACACATTATATATATATATATATATATATATATATATATATATATATATATATATATATATATATTATTCGGACTATTGTTCTCATCATTGTCGCCATATTTATCACAGTTTCGGCCTTTGTATGCTCCTTCTTCAGGTGGTTGGAATGTCAAACTGAACCCTTTATTTCGCTCTCTGGGGTAGACTGTTCTAGTTTCCCGTTACATTATCTAATGGATGTCTGTTATCAGTTATCTCCAGTTAATTCTCCTCTCCAAGTTCTACACCGCCTTAATCAGGTATTGATCTCACACTCTTTGGGTTCTCTCACAGGATCTAACTAACGCCTTTATCCACTGTGCCATGTGTCCTTGATAAATTTGCCGACCAAGGTGAGGACAATAGTCCTAATAATGTAAATAGTGTACATAATACCTCATCTCTGAAATATATATATATATATATATCATATATATGAATATATATATATATATATATATATATATATATATATATACGAGAGAGAATATTAGCAGGAGCATGCAGGTGGAGTGGAATGCGATCTTTGTATAATGAAGGGACCGATGATCTTGTAAAGAATGAGTAATTGCTTTGAATAAAAAGAAATAAAATTATGGCGACCTGAAAAATAAAAAAGAAAATTATTTGCATTATTTGACTATTGTCCTCACTTTGTCGCCATATTTATCACAACATTTCGGCCGTTGTTAGTTCTGCCTTCTTCAGGTGGTTGGAACCACCTGAAGAAGACCGGAGCGTACAAACGTTGTGATAAATATGGCGACAAAGGTGAGGCCAATAGTCCGAATAATGTAAATGTACACAATACCTCATCTCAGAAATATAGACAGACCCAAAAATTATGTACTAAAAAATACCCATCCGGGATAACTGCATATCTAAGAAATCAATGTCATAGATATGATATAATTTAGCCAAATTGATATGGTTCCTATCAATTAATATTCCCACTTAAAGATTATTTAAGATTTATTTCTCAGTCGTGGTGTAGTGCGTAGAGGCATAACAATTTTATTATTAGTTATATATAACTTTTGTAAGTTGAATAAATGTGTTTAAGATATTTATAATAGAAATCTAGATAACAATTGACAGAATATTTTTCTAAGGATTATTTGTTTATACTTATTACAGAACTTAATCTATTTTAACAAAAATACAAAAACTTTGAATTTTTCCTGAACATTTGAGAGAAGAATATTTAATTTAAGATTTTTATTTAATGTTTTTTGCTACTTTTAAAATTATTTCCATCCTCCTTTTTATGTCAGTTTTATCTTATTTTCATTTTTACATTGTTTCTTTTCTTCTTTTGTCCTTTCTTTTCTTTTGTCCTTTCTTTTCTTTTCTTTTTCTCTTTTTTTCACTTTATCTATTTTATTTTATCTATTATTTGTTTTTTTTGTTTTGTTTTTTTCTGATTTCATCGTTTTTTTTTGTTTTTTTGTTTTTTGTTTTTGTTTTTTCTTCTCTCTTTTCCCTATTTTTTTTTCTGACATTCCACGTCCTCCATTTTAGTTACAAAACCTCGTTCCCCGCCAATACTCAGAAGCCGAACGAAAAAGTTGAGGTTGGGGGTCAGCAAGCCGATCATTAAGGCGCTTTTTTTTTTTTTCGTTCAGAGCCGATGATTGTATCTTGACGTATCTCCTTTGTTAGCAATGGACATATACAGCTATAGAAAATGGATTCTTTTTTTTTTTTTTTTTTTTTTTTCTTGTAATGCTTACTCATGTCGCATTTATATTGCGAAAGAGGAACCGGAAAGTCTGAAAGTATTCTCTACATGACACTCGGCCAAAATTCTTTGTCTTTAAGGATGTGCCAATGAAAACGTTACAAAAATATTCTAAACCACCAAGAATAAAAATAACTGTTCTTTCAAAACGTTTCAGAAAGCAAAAGGTAAATGGCCCAAAATATTTATCCACTACGCGATACGATATATAACAATTACCTCCCTTGCTTTTCGTGCAAAATCCTTTGAATACAGTTAAGAGCCATTCAAGGTAGAGGGTTATTGCGCGGTGATGAATGAACGTAAGAAAAGGCGAGAAGTGCAGTTCATGAGCCTATGCAAAAAAGATAAACCTGGATTTGAAGATTGTCAGGTATGGGCTATGCATGATACACTCTTAAGCGATCATGTATCTTTCTGTACATGACTGACTAGGCAGATTTTTTCCCCGCAGTAGGTTGCCATTTCTTTCTGCGGTAGGCTAGTTGCCATCCAAGGTTACAGAACCCTGTCTGTCTTGCTATTTACCCATAACTGGGAGGGGGAGAAGAAGAGGGTTCATACCTTTCCCAAGGGTATTAGTACGTAAGTGAATGTAATAGATTCGTCTGGAATTCGAACTCGGCTCCTCAATCCGAACCGCTATCCATTGGAAAAACATCCTGTTGAGTATTCCACAAAAAGCAGTCCCGGGGAAGAAGCTTTTTGAGTGGAACTTATTAATGGAATACGAAGAAAATGAATGTGATTCATCCTTGTGTGCGTAACATGGTGGATTTCACCCTCAAAGATCAGGTCTGGTGGAATAAAAAAAAATGTAGCTCTTCTGAAGGCTTGCTATGTTTCGTCTATGTGAAATAATTAATCACCCAAAGGCCGCTTAGATGTCTTTTGAATATCAAGGCAAGCAAGTGAGGATTGTGCAGCTCCAGCCCAAATATGGCAGCAATACTCCACTTTTCGTTTGATTTGGCTTCTGTAAAGTTAGTGTGGCAGGTAGTCAGATACTTATTGAAGCGGCGCGATGAAACGGACATTTTTAGCAATAGATTGTATATCTGTTCCAATTGAGATTTTATGGTGAGCTTGAGTCCCATTACACATTCAAGGCAAAGAACCTCCACCATGAGAGGTAAAGTTCAAGGTCTGCATAGTGGCGGTGGAACGTTAGTAGTTTGGTTTTGGACCTATTGGATTTTACAAGCCAGTCCTTCCTCCATTGTGCCACCTTGGGACAGATCAGAGGAGAGATCAGATGCCAGGATCTGGTCGTCCAGATTTTCAAATATTTTAAGTGTCAACGTTTTATACTCTTTACTTAGACTGAACAAAAGTAAACAGAATCGCTTGTCATCATCGTATCGTAGGCAAACAAGTTATGTTCAAAAGTAATTATAAATGCTCTTTCGTGAAATTTAAAAAAGAACTTGTAATAATCAAGGTTAGTTTTTTTTTTTAAATTATAGTAAAATTTAAACCGCGATTATGATCACTAAAAACAGAAAATTTCATATGAGCTATCAGTCGTCCTCTTACAAAACGTTCTTAACTTTATGTAGTTGTAGTTCTGCTTGTTACGCGTTTGATTTTGCTGTTAAATGTTTGTTAGCACAGTGGAGTAATGAATGGCGGCTTGGAGGGAGGAATCGGAGAGCCGAGTTCGAATTCCAGTTGAGTTTATTACATTCACTTATTCTTTGGGGAAGTTATGAATACATTTCTTTGGATTTAATCTTATGAATCCATCTCTATGGGTAAATAGCAGGACAGACTGGGTTCTATAGCCTAGAGTGGCGACTAGTCTAGAAGAAGGAATATTCTGAACTGAAACCAACCTGAAGCGAGTTGGGCTACGTCAGGCTCTTGCCTAGGAAACACCACTGCCCATGCTATACATGGTGTTCCTACGAACCTAATGGAGGTTACGGGACGTGTGATCATGGTACGTATATATATATATATATATATATATATATATATATATATATATATATATATATATTTCAAAAATACTTTTCCAAACTTTGTGGACGGGTCCGTCACAGCAAAGCAATGTAAATGTACATATAAACCGTATGACCAAAAGGCCATTGCTGTACCTCAACACGGCAACTCATAACAAATGTTCAAAATGTCCTCCGCTTGCTTCTACGCACGCATGCACCCGTCGGATCATTGACTGGCAAAACCTTTCAGATAGTCCTACAGTGTCGAATGGTTTCGCAGCCCCCAACCCATGACGCGTTGAAATCAATTTTAATTGATTTTATTTACTGTTCTGATAGACCTCTCCAATGACAATCATACATCTTGTCGAAAAAATACTTTATTTTTGTTTTGTTTTTTTATTAAGTTCTTACGATTTTTACTTTCATGACAAACATGACATAAATTTGCCTCTTGCAATTAAAACCAACAATTTAAGGTTTTATTAAACGGCTATGAAGTAAGAATAAAATAAAAATCTCTTGAACCAACCAAAATTACAATTGCCATTTGAATAAAAAATATATTTTTAAAAAAATACATTTTTATAGTAAAAAAATACCAGCAGTACATTTTTGAATAAAAAAATATTTAGAAAAAAATACATTTTTATAGTAGAAAAAATACCATTTATAGTAGAATTAGCAACAGTACCTATTTTTAGAATTAGCAACAGTACCTATTTAT